CTGGTATATTTGCACTAGGACGGGTTCCCATCGTGTTTATTTTTTCGCATTGGCGCAAATTGCGAAACGTGATCGCGTAGGCAATGCTAAGTTTATTTGTTTGGATATGCACGCTTTAGACGGAATAATGGTCCTGAAATTTGAATTCCTGGAAATGTTTTGATATCGATGACAATGCTGGGGCACAAGTGCGAACATTTTGTTTTATCTATTGACCATGCGGGTTTATATGAATCTAAAATGGCCAAACATATTCATATGTGAGCTTGTTCTAAATATTCCGTTGTACAAGGATGATGTGGTGGACAAGTGTACATGAATATTCACACCCCAGGACAGTCGTAGAAAATTAGGACCACAATTGCTGGTCAGATGTATTCGAACATGGAAGAGCGAGATGAGATGTCTTTAACTCCGCTTTTGAACAAAATTTCAGTTTTATCATGGGAGAACGGCGCTAGTTACGACCTGTTAAATTACGTGAAATCACCGCAGTTATTATGAACCACCGGTTTCATTTCCAAACGTCGCTCATGTTATCAACCGCCGGTTTGATTTACAATTGTTCCTAATTTTACCGCCCACCTGTTTGATTTCCTTGCGTCGCTCATATTATCGACAAACGGTTGAAATAATTTGTGACGTAGTTGTGATAGTGTTAACGTTTGGAGCCAAACGGAATTCACCAGCCAATTAGTACGTGGAAGCTAAAACTATGCCACGTTAATTGACTCAGAAGATGCGACGGAAATATATATATACGTATGGTTATTGTTGCAGGTGGGGCATGAGATGTGGATGTTACGAGAATAATACGGTCTGGCCCGTGGAGACGCGGGTCCGTTAGAGGCGCCTAGTGTCCCGTAGCCCCTGAGTGAGTGAGTTGAGTTTAACGCCGCTTTGAACAGTTTTCCAGTTATATCACGGCGTGTCAGCTTAATGTGGGAGGAAAGGCCGAAGTGGTGCAGGTCTCAGACGTTTACCACTTCGGTAAAACCCACGACATGGACATGATGCTGACAAAACTAAAAATATAATTGGAGCGAACCGGGATTCGAACCCACAATCATAGGTTTCTGGCGGATAGCGGTGCCTTAGACAACTGGTCCCTCCTCATGTACGGTCATAGTACCGGGAGGTTAGTTCAGCTCGAGTATGAACACTGGTAGCGTGGTCTGGGTTCGACTCCAAGCAGTGTGTCACATTTATAGTATCACACTCTGCAGATGGAATAAAAAACGGTATTTTGACATCGTGAGAGGCGGAGGTGTCGCCATGGTTACGGACAAATATCAAACAATCCCACTGCGATTAGTAACCATTATATACGCATGTCCCGAAGCCCGTCACCCTCCCCAACATACAGTGACATTCACACTGTATATTGCACACACACACATACAGTGTTTTGTCAACGTCGCATTGCTTGCCACCCAATGGTGTGTGTGTTCCCCTGTAGTGGCAACGCCCTTATACAATCACCAGACATTACCGAGACAATGTGGATAATTAGTGACTAACCCGGATAAACACATAATGGCCGCCGATGTGTCATACACACGCAACGTAGACGACATCCTCGTTGTGTCTGTATACTCAGCAACATTAGTAACGCACCATAGTTTAGCTTCCAGTAAGCGCCCCGCAGTGTGGATATACTCAGAAACATTAGTAACGTAACGCACCATAGCTTAGATTCTAGTAAGAGTGTCAGGCGGTGTGATTGTATATTCAGCAATATTAGTAACACATCATAGTTTAGCTTCTAATGAGCGTCAGGCGGTGTGATTGTATACTCAGCAATATTAGTAACGCATCATAGTTTAGCTTCTAGTGTCAGGCGGTGTGATTGTATATTCAGCAATATAAGTAACGCATCATAGTTTAGCTTCTAATGAGTGTCAGGCGGTGTGATTGTATACTCAGCAATATTAGTAACGCATCATAGTTTAGCTTCTAATGAGTGTCAGGCGGTGTGATTGTATACTCAGCAATATTAGTAACGCATCATAGTTTAGCTTCTAGTGTCAGGCGGTGTGATTGTATATTCAGCAATATAAGTAACGCATCATAGTTTAGCTTCTAATGAGTGTCAGGCGGTGTGATTGTATACTCAGCAATATTAGTAACGCATCATAGTTTAGCTTCTAATGAGTGTCAGGCGGTGTGATTGTATACTCAGCAATATTAGTAACGCATCATAGTTTAGCTTCTAGTGTCAGGCGGTGTGATTGTATACTCAGCAATATTAGTAACGCATCATAGTTTAGCTTCTAGTGTCAGGCGGTGTGATTGTATACTCAGCAATATTAGTAACACATCATAGTTTAGCTTCTAGTGTCAGGCTGTGTGATTGTATACTCAGCAATATTAGTAACGCATCATAGTTTAGCTTCTAAAGAGTGTCAGGCGGTGTGATTGTATACTCAGCAATATTAGTAACGCATCATAGTTTAGCTTCTAATGAGTGTCAGGCGGTGTGATTGTATACTCAGCGATGTTAGAAACGCACCATAGTTCAGGTTCAAGTGAGTAGGTGAGGTGAAATGTGGTTTAACGTCGCGTTTAATGCCATCGCACATTTTCCAATGTGTATCCACGTGTGTGCTTGAACCATTCCGGACTAAAGCTGGTTTTATTGTACTTGCCCACTGAAATACCATGCCGCAGTTTGACATGACATACCCTACTCAGACACAGTACACTGACTCCGACCCCACCAGTCTTTGTTTATCCCTTTAATGCCGAGCGCCAGGCAGGGTAACAACAAGTACCATCACCTTGTCTTTTGGTATGACGCGGCCTGGGATCGAAACCCCGACCTTACGCTCTCCGAACAGACGCAATATCCACCAAACCACGGATACGACCTTCTAGTGAGCGTCAGGCGGTGTGATTGTATACACACCAACATTAGTATCGCACGGCAGGAACTAGCAGATCTACTTTGATAGAAGGAAACATTGACTTGGACCTACACTCGTGACAGCCGGTCGACGTTCGATCATTCGTCTCTCAGACGTTTCTCAAATAAAGCTTCTTTGAAGATACGCGGATACCTTTGTCAGGTGAGAGTCAACTTTGGTAGGGTTCGAGCGCTTAAATTTGTTCGTTTGTTTGACGCCGCAATCAGCAATATTCTGGACCAGACAAACCAGTGATTGGCATAATGAGCACGTAACTGGGATACGATGACATGCATCAACCAAGTCAGGGAGCCGATCCCGTTAGTCGAATCTTGGGACAAGCATTGGTTGCTGAAGATCATTTCTAACCCGGATGTTCCGGCTAGCTCAATTGGTCGGAGTACTGGGGACCTTCTACGAACGGGGCAGCTGCTAATGGCAAAGACAAATACGTTTCACAAGATCCCGTAAAAGACGGAAAACACGACAAGACGACGGATACAAACCAACAAATGCAAAGAAAATACTTTCACCGAAAATTAAATTTTAAATACCAAAATCAACTAACATTACAATACGTCATTAACAATAAAAGAAAAAGTAGCCTCTTGAAGCCATTTGTAACATTTGTAACATTTAGCGTTTTTCAACTTGAAACTTCAGAAATACAGAATATACTTCAAGATAAAAACACTGATTACCACAAAACGGTAAAAGAAAAGAGACGGAAAAGGGTTACAACATGGTTGAAAGTCGGTATATTACTGCAGGAAATTTAGCTGTTTAGTTTTGAAATAAAACAAAAACTCATATAAAGATATAAATTGAAATATCATTAAAGTTAAACATTTCACAGGAATTTTTAAAGCTGAAGTTTACATAATTTCATCAACCGTAGCAAGTCTATGTTTACTGCAACCACGTGACGACACAAAACGGTTGCGCGGCACGGACATGCGCAGTGCGTGTCGCATCGTGAGTCGGTCAATCATTATTTTAAGGATGGGAACAAGCCCTCTCAGCGGGACATTATCTGATTTCCCGCAGGCTTTTTGCTTTGGCAGTTAAATGACCACACCGACACTAATTATGTAATATCCAAGTCTATGAAATAGCAGAGACCATATACCGATATCGATATACATGGTATGTGGATTTAGGCTGCGTTTGACCCCCAAGTTATATCTTTTTCTTGACATTAAAGAGTAGATTTAAAGTGATTCTATTTTCAACAAATGTTATATTTAGGAAAACACTTTATTAGAAAAGTACAGGTTCTCGTACTTTTTGGGGTTGAGTCCAGTTTTAATTTTATTTTTTCTGTATATGTTCAAAGCAAATTGCACATATTTAGTTGCAACAGCATTAAACCTCAAAGTTTAAAATAGTTTAACTTTTAAACCAGTTGAATTGATGTAAGTATCAAAACCCAAATGTGAAATTCATCACCCGTTTCAAACTTTTTCCATTCTGCCGCTAAAGAACCTTTCATGATTGTAAAAAAATTTGTTTATACATCTTCGGGAAATACTTCACATTGCTTAAAACTCTCTTCTCCCAAATCGAAAACGTCAATTCTAAAATAACTTTTCATCATTTTAATTCCTAATAGTTTGCAATACGATTATAATGAACTTTGCTATTTTAAATATGTACATAATCTACACATCAAACTAGTAGAACGAATGCAGGATAAATCTACATATCACTTCTTGCGTATAATTATGTCATACATGCTAACATATGTGCATTAAAGTCAATCGGACCTTTTCCGAAGTTTATTTGTAGAGTTCATCCAAAACATAAAGCGCTTACATCTGACATAATATGAGAGGGTAAGCTCTCTCCTTAAACAGGGAGAGACAGTATAATCGGTTTGCGATCGGTATATCAACAGAGTGGCCCAAAATCAACAGACCATTTGGTCTGACAGTACTCTACGTTGTATCAGTCGACTGCCGACTAAATGGCGCCTGGCTGCACACAACTGCTAATAACCATTACTCCACTTGCCCCGCCCCTTAACTCCACCCCTTCGCTTGAAGCAGCCATTCAGAACGCCGAGGTGGTTTACGACCGTCTGACAGTGGGCTGAACTTGGCTAGTTCGGCATGGCCGCTGTATGTTATCAGCCGTGTTTTGGGCCGAGGAGAATTAGTGAATGCATGTTTTGATGGTGATTACTCGTGTTTGTGAAACAGTCTCATGTGGGATACCATCATGGAGAGGTAGATGTACCCCAAGACACAACATCGACTGATGCAGTGCCGAGCTGTTCACTTGGGACTTTGCAAAGTTTGTGAACTCCTAGCAGACTTCTCCTCGCGTGTTTTAACGTTGGTGTCGAGCCCTTGTGTGTGTTCGTGAACTGTTGACAGTGATTTCACGAGCTCGGGTCGGGCTGTTGTGACTCCTGTGGCAAGTTGTGGTTCTCTGGACTTGGTCATATGTTTGGAGGACCCACGGGTTAGTTTGTTACTCATTTGAACAGTTTACCAGGATTACTAGCGGAGGGGAAGAACCAGGCCTGTAGAGGGTTCCTCAATGGATTCAACACTAGCGCTTCTCTTGTTGTTTCTCGGCTATTGTTTTGCTGTAATTGAAGGTGAGTTCATTCCGTTTTCTTATCGTTTAGACCCATTATGCCCCTGCTCCTCAAATGAATGCTTGTCCCACGACTGATAACAACTGTCTTTTGACAATAATTCACACACGGTGCTGTCTGAGAATCGCCCGCCCGCACACATGCGTCGTCTGCTACATTCCCACGACGTCCCGATCAACTCTGTGTTTCGCCGTAAATCAATACCGAAATACTCAATCAGCTGAGTAGCCCAGATTTCGTGGGAAAGCATCATTCCTTTGAAATTCCCACCAATGTACGCCGGCTGTCGTTACGCCACTCTACGTTCAATATCGGCCAACATACCGGCCCACCAAGGCTGTGTATAGCTGTCCGTTCGTGTGTCCAGTAAGTGGGCTCATATCCCTGTGTGTTCCGAGCTAAGTGCAGGATTCTGCCGACCTCTCATCTCCTCCAGAACACCTGTTCACTGATGAATATACCTCGCATGTTGTCGTCTGCTCTGCCACGCGGAATCTTCGTGTAGCAGACGACAGACGAACCAGGACACAAACTCGTGCTTTGGACAACGAACAGTTTCCGAATCAGAACTGCACATGTTTACATGTTAGGCAGAGAAAGAAGCAAGGCAGGTTCATTTTAAGGGAATTAATATGACAAGACGTGTCTTTTAACAGCCATACAGAATAGGCCTATTAACTGAATGGGTCGAAAAAAGGCCAACTTCAAACTGTCAGCGGACTTTCCTTCAGGCAGTTAGGCCATGTACTTCATTATTTAGTGATCCCAATCTTACGAAAATGATCTCCTTTCAGTAATGGTCTTTTATGAATCTCCCTATTCAGTACAATGCTTTTGAATCTGTGCGAAGCGAGGCGTACGGAAGGTAGATACACCTTTCCTCCTCACACTAGGGGACCGAGTCTGGGGAACAGTGTGGTAGCTGCATGCATGCGTGGTCCTTTCCTCAGCCTAAACCTCGGCAACGTCAGGCGAACGACATAGTTCTGTGATTTTATCTGTTCATTGGACTATATCGGACCTGGCAAAAGCACAGTTTCTCCATGGCAACATTTCAAGAGAAAAGCTTGCCTGAGGTTATCGATCAGTGTGAGCTCCCAGTGGAGACAAACGGGCTGTGGTATGTCGCTCGTACATTATCATTTGTCGGAAAGAACGTCTCATAACACCACTATCCAGTTTATCCATCAAAATATGACGTCTTATTTTGAAGAAAAATATCAAATCTTATAAAATAAAGGCACAAGATGATTAACGTAAAAAGTACTTTAAAGTTCTAATGAAATATTAAGTGATATAAATAGGGTCGGTGGTTATGGCGAGAACTTGTCTTGATCTAACCCTAATATTACTGTAAGAGTTCATCCTTTTAATAGCAAAATAAATAACTTTTCTTGTGAAGGGAAAGTAAATATTCAAGAGAGTTTAAACTTTTGCCAAGTGCTAAGCGACCCATTCCGAGATGTTCCTGGGTCCTGCGCTGCTTCAAAGCCCACGACCAGAACGATGACAACCATTTTTATTTTCGCCAAGTATAAACACCGACTGTCATACTCAAATACAACAACCCTCGCTGCGGATGCCATGTTGGTTTTCGCTATCGAATTGTTCACAAAGACCCGGGATGTTTCGCCAGTAAATATTTGATATAAATGCCCCTGCTACGATATAAACAGTAGCGTTCAGACTTGACGAAAATCACAAAATATTTTATGTGACAATTTGGATGAAATGATACAAAACAGTTCGAAGGCGGCGTATGATTGAAACAGGATCGTAGACGCCTTGATGTACAAGCTGTAAAAGCTTTATTCTGGGTTTGGTGTGAAATTTAGCTTAAATATTTCAAGCGAGGTACGATGCAACTGCGACATGTGGGACAACACAAGAACACACCGTCAGAATTCAACAAACTTAAACCCGGTTTTACCGGAATTCGTCACACTCAAACGCGGACTTAAGAATACCAGCACAGGTAATGGTGATGTTTGAGAATACCGGGTAACGCTTACATCACATTTGAAGACGAGCCCTTGACAGAGAGATCACTTTTCTGACGGCCTGGCAATGGGAGGTTCATGTCGCGTTTGACGACAGGTGGAAACCATGCCCCGAGCCTTGCAACCAGGAACGTGCTGAGTTTGTCGTTAATGTCTGAATTTCATGTCCCATAGTTCTATAGGGTTCAGGTATATATTCAACAAATAAGTAACTCTTAAGCCATCATTTGATAGTCGCTGGTTTTAATTCACAAAACACAGGCAAGATACATGCAGTGGAATCCCTATTAATACTGCGTCGAACTTACGTCTTTAGAAAATAATACAACTTAGATTACGAGTGTAAAACGTGCGTAAAATTAGCATGTGTGTGTATATATTACATTGGTTTGCAAGTTAAAGCACTCTAGGTTAGCCTACTGGCCTGACGAAAAGGTTTGTAGTTAAACGTTTATGTGAAAATATGTATAAGTTGTGGACTGAGCAAGCTAAGTAATTTATCTCTGGGTTTGTTTGAGGGTCGCGGGGTCGCTCTGTGCAAACGTTGGTTTTCTCCACTGATACGAGGCAAGCGTACAGGCGGCTCTAGATAGCTCTAGATACAGTTTTGCCGGTGTAAGACAGACTCAAGTAGATACGGCAATTCCCAGAGAGGTGCGGCCTTCCTGCAGTGGTCAAGCAGCCAGCCAGCAAGTAGGAGAATCGCCAAGGAGAGTGAATAGGGTCGGAATATAGTCAGGTCTCGTTTATCGATAATTTTAAAATGCTTTTAAGTCGTTTTTGTTTACCTTAGCGCCGGGGCTACCCCGGGTATGTTCTGAGTAGAAGTGTGACCCTGTGTTTGTTGAGATGCGGGCGCTCTGCTGCGCGTGTGGGGGAATATGGCGGGTAGATTGGTGTACCAAACGCCGGTCTGATTCCACCAGGTGGTGAAAGTTATAAAATATAAAATGAAAACGACTTTTCTTAATTTGGGTCTTAAAATTACGTTCACCTTAAGTTTGGTTTTCATGAGACTTCATGTTAAACGTTCCCTGGTTTAACGTGAAATGTTGCACACGCGATTCCTGCCATCAATAAAAATAAGATATTACAAATAAATAATGTTTTGAAGCATGTGTTAACAGAAGGCATTATATACATCTGAACTGATTATAAAAACATTCATCAAAAGCTGTTCACTTTATGCGTATGAAATCGTGATATTAATAAAACTCGAGATTTGAAATATGAGCCTGATTCACATCTGTGCTGCTATATGCGCCCATATGCTATCAAATAATCGATAGGCAGTAAAATGAACACTTGGGTAAGCAACAGGTTGGTCGTCTCTCACAAAATTGACAACTTGCTAATTTCAACTCTGAAATCGACATCCGTTGACGTAGGTGTTAGAAGCCATAACTACTTAGTGAAAGGTTGGGTGGCGCAATGGGTAGTTAGTTGAGTTCGATTCCCAGAAGGTAAAGCTTCGATTTGATGTCCATACAAGTGGATGTATCTTGACGTTGACTCTCGCTTCATGTTCAGTACATATGCATGAATTTAAAAAGTAAATAGATAAAACATTCATATTTATGAATTCAGCGAGTTCACGAATGCGAGTGTTAGATCAGCTGGCACATGGCGCCGAGGATTTGGAAAGTTCATATATCATACACTGTAACACCCATTGCTGAAGGTCTGCATTACGTAAGGGTTTGACGCAAGACTCGTGACTGAGAACGATGCAAGAGAACTGATACTGTTAACCCCGTCTACCATAAGGCGTTAGCACGTTATATCAGTTTACAGTGCAGCGTTGCGTAAAGCGGCAAAAATATTTTGTGAGTTCCAGGACAGGGATCCAGCGCTTCCGAAAGTTGACGATCCCAAATTAATAATTAAAAATCTGATCCCCTTTCCCACAAATTTAGGATTACGTAATCATGAGCGCGCCAGAGCTATATCCATTTTAATCCGAGTGTCGCCATGTCGATTACCACTGCCCCGTTTTTTTATCAGCAGATCCCGACAATATACAATGAATGGTGTAGTTAAATCATACTGAACGAGACGACCGTAGTTGTCACGGACTGTCCCCTGTACACACATGCCAACTGATAGAACACTAACACGGTTTTGGCAGCATGTTTGACGCAACAGAAGGAATAAGAAGGTTTGAGACATCCTCATCAATTATGAGCACTGGTGCTGATCTCTATCAGTGTTCGTCACGTGATGCGTCTAGACCTATGTGGATGACAGTGAAATGTTCGTTGTTTTTGCGTCGTAATTTACATAATGGCATTGACGCGAATTCAAAGATGTTTGAATTTTAATTTGCTTCGGGTATTATATGGTGTTTCTACGTTGCATCGAGATTAATGATGCACGAGACAAGGCTATCCATTGAATGTGAATGTTATAGGGCGCAAGTATTGGCGACTGAGAGGCGGCCAAAGTAGATATCTCTACGGTGCTTGTCTGAAATATTCATTAAGCGGAAACATCTGGACCAGACATACAATGGCTCTAATTATGTGTAGTGGGAAGCTAATGATATGACTACCGTCTAGCGCCAATAACACCTGGGATGGCGATTTGCTTGACCAAGTTGGGAATCAGACAGGGTGCTATTCTTCTTCAAGCAGCATTAAGCCTAAATTCATAAAATATTTTTCAACAAATCTATGAATTTCACGGTGTCAGAAAAATCGGGAATATTTACGAGCGTGGTGGGCGATGATTTATTCCTCAACGACGTGGACGTCTTGCATTGTCATGCTTTCATTCCGCAGATGGCAGCGTTGAGACATGGGCGGGTTGATATTTCAAATTATAACTTTTCTAAATTTCAACCTACTTATTTATTTTCTCGATAAAGTTAAAACCAGCATTTAAAGGCTAGACCAGGACTGTGGCTGTTGGGAGACTGGTCGCCAGGAACAATTCCTCTTCGACTACACTGGCCGCGGTGTATTATCGAGGTGGAATCTACACTCTTCCGCGACAGGGTCG